CACACACTGGCCCAGCTAACCAATCACAGCACATTTCGTATTTCAGAAGGCGGGCCTTCATTTGATACAGGAACTATTCGAGCCGTTCATGCCAGACTGGGGAGAGAGGTGTTGTAATAATGTAAAATATGTGAAAAATAATGTGTATATATAATGTTATCGAACAAAATAATGTTTCGAACAACCTAGTATGAGAGCCTGTTCTAGTACACCCCCAAAACAAAATCAAGACTTTGTAAAAGAGCATAATAGGACCCCTTTAATATTTTGGCTTTCTTCTGCATTTATGTATGTTAACAAAATCAAAAATCTGAGCTGAGGACGGTTCCGGCCCCGTCTCTACCTTGAGAGTTGGCCTGCAAGAGTCCAATACTGTCATCAAACTGCATGGACTTGATGTTGAGAGAGGCCAGAATACACTCCTTATCCTGCAGAGAGGCGTCGTCGATGTTGTTCTGATTGGCTGACAGGATGACGCACATGTCACACAAGTTGATGTTGACGGCTCTCAGATCGGCCCGACTCAGTGGAGTCCCCTAAACAGGAGACACACGTCAGAAACGTGACGCTGAAATGCCACACTGTAAAAAATACATCCGGAAAATTACACCGCTCATTACACATGACATTATCCACTAATTTTACGGACATTTCTGTTAACTCTAAAACACAATGCAATGAAGTGTAAAATTTAAAACACTGGTAGAACACCTGTAAAAACAGTATATAATATATACAGTATATTGTGCCCTATCTTTACAGATTTTTTAGAGTGCATCACGGGTTAAACAGAGACTGCCGTCCGCTCACGGGTAAGATGGAGACTTTGGGGAAGTTGTGTAGCGTCTCCCACTCTCTCTTGAGATACTCCAGAGAGCCCACGAACACGATGGGCTTCAGCTCGTGATAGTGGAAGTTACTGGCTCTCAGAGGCATCACCAGGTTACGCAGACCGATCAGAGCCGACTTCACATCGCCGAATATACAAACCACCACGTGACCGCTCAAAACCGTCATCGCCGCCTCACTGCGAGTCTGAGAGAGAAATACAGACCAATAAATCACTGACTGACCTTTACTGACCCTCAAGCTAGTCACAAACACTAGTCTGACACTGTGTTATTACTGTGAACTACAACTATTAAAAAACATTTACATTATTTGAAATAAAATCAATGTTAACTGAAATAAAATGTTAAAAACTTCCAGTTTCATTATTTATATAGAATTAGAAATTTTATGTAATTTATACATTGACAAATTCTATGCAATTTGTCCAATTTATATAGAAATATTTATTTATATTTATGTTATTTTAAGTTGAATTACTAAAACTGAAAATAACCTAACAAAAACGGAAAAATAAAATAAAAACAAACTATACTGAAACTGACTACTAAAACTGACAAAAACACAACAAAATTATTAAAACTACTTTCAGTTATACTAAGTAAATATTTCAGTTAGTTGCGAGGCAATATTTCACATTTTCGTTTTGATTAAGTTGAGGAATTAAAATATCTAATCTAAAAAGGAAATAAAAAGAATAAAAATTAAATAGATATAAAAAAACTGACAAAAACACAAAACAAATTTACTGCGACTACTTTCGGTTATATTTAAATAAATATTTCAGTTATCAAATCAATATTTTGAGTACTACAAAGACTAAAAATACAAGTAAAAATAATGAAACTAAAACTGAAATAAAAAAAATAAATAAACATTTTAAAGTAATAAAACGGACAAAAAACTACTTTTATTTGAAAGTCTAACTGAATATATAGTATATTTTAGTTAATTGCCAAGGCAACATTTTACATTTTTGTTTGTTGAAGTACTAAAATGAGTAAAACTAAAACAGAAATTTTAAACAACAAACTAAATAAACATTCGATGCAAAAAGACACAACAAAATCACTAAAACTACTTTTAGTTGTACTTTAAATATTTCAGTTAGTTGAAAAGGCAACATTTCTGATTTTTGTTTGGTTTAAGTACTAAAATGACTAAAACTAAATTTAAAACTGAAATAAGAATTAAAAATAAAATTAAAAAAATTATATTAAAACGGACAACAACACAACAAGATTACTATTTCAAATAGTTTAATTACTAAAATGACTAAAACTAACTAAAATAAAAATAATAAACATTTTACAAATTTACCAAAATTAAAAATAAAAATGGAAAATACAATAAATGAAGTGAAAACAAATTCAAAATGATAATAACTACTGTAATACTATATGTAAAATACGATAATATCTCAGTTCTGTTGTGTAACGCACTGAATATCTCTTACCAGCATGACCTTCTCGATGTCTTTTGATGGACACCAGTGAAACATTCCTGTCGAATCATATTTCTTTATGTTCTCATCCATTGTTTCCATTTGATCGTGTCCAGGGACCAACAACGGGTCGTGCCTGAAATCAACAAACCACAAAAACATGGACAAACTTGAGCGTTTCACTTCCAACAACAGCGAGATCGATGACTTTATAACCCAGACGTTTGCAGGGAATGAATTGGATGCTGGGAAGCAGGGCTGCTGTTACAGGACGTGATTGAGAGCAGGAGCTCAGGGTCTCAGGGACGTTTGATTGGCCCATTAGAGGGGTGAAGGTTTCAGCATTCTGTCAGAGAGCGTTTCCATCCGTCAGCCGCAGCTGCTGTTATGACTTTATTTTCGATCATTAGGCCATTAGAGCTGCAGACGCTCTCCTCACTTCCTCCGGCTCGCTGTCCATCAAATTTAATGCGCAGAATGACAGCAAAACCACACGGTCAGCAGCGCACCTCGCTGCGCCAGACGCCCGCTGTCAGAGAAACTGCCAGATACACGCTACTGTACCACATTACATTACGTTCCACCCTAAAATGAAAAAAATTACATTAAAAAAAAAAATGAAAAAAATGATTTTGTTGCTGCAGTACATATATACGTATATATATATATATATATGACTGACTGTGTGTGTGTGTGTGTGTGTGTGTATATATTCTGTTTATATATAAAATGCAGAACAATGTTAATTGTTCTAAAAAAAATCTAATCTTCTTTAAATAATTCCCTTATTTCCGATTTGCGAGTGAAATGTGAGCAGGCCATGTTTTGGTGAGATTCAGTCTCAGCCGCTCCGGATGAATGTGATCTTCTGTCTGTAGGTGAGGTTTATCAGACGAGACACTGACAGCACATCAATCTCTCTCACTGAATCTATACGGTTAGTGTTTCAGCACTCCATCCGATCCTCTCAGGGGCTTGATCTGTCAGCGCTGAACACATTCATACTGTCCTCGCCAGCACTTATTAATAACTGACCGCTCGGCTCATAGTCCTCAGGAAAGTCTGAGTGTGTCTCATTCGGGTCCTGTAGCTGCATACGGATCAGACCTGACACAAACACACTCACACACACAAATACAGCTGAAAGTCTGTGTGTCTGAAACACATCATCGGGATTATCATGGAAAACACAGATTCTGTAAACTGTGTAAATATCCTGGAAAGCAAATTTATCAAGACCAAATGAAGTGGAGTGTTTTTTCTTTTTTTTTTTAGATCAGGTGAGATTTATCAAAGTGTAATTTATATAAATTTTGAAATTTTATGTAATGATTTTGTTGCTACAATACCTATATATATATATATATATATATATATATATATATACACATACAAATATATATCTGAAAATAAAGCAAATGAAATGGATAATGTATAAATCTGCAATCAATTTACAAAAAAAAAAAAAAAGATAATAAAATTAAAATAAAATAGGCCTAATTGTATTAAAATATTGTAAAATATTATAGTAAATAATTATTATAAAATAATTATAATTATACAAACACACATTCACATTTACTGTATTGTAAATATGCAAATTTAAAAAAATGAAAATAATAATAAAAGCAAATAAAACTGATGTATAATGTATAGTGATAATATAACTAGGATATTGGCCAACATATACTATATATTGCAACATATATTTATTTTATTTATTAATTAATTTTTTTAAACATTTTCTGATTTAGATATAATAACCGGATATTGATCTTATTGGATTCAATGGATCAATTTACAGCAGATATATATATAAGCAAATAAAATGAATGACAATAAAGCTAATAAAGCTAATAAAAGCTGTTCAAATTAATAATGTTTTGTGATAATATAACTAAGATACTGGCCTCAGATTGAGTAGATAATCTTGAATATAATTTTGTGAGTGCACTTTTGTACAGAATTTTATGGATACAATACATATATATTATAAATTGCAGCAACAGAAAATATTAGATGAGAGAGTATTTTGTTTCTTATGAGTGAGTGTAATATACACAAAAGCCCAGGGCTGAGAGCAAACCCTGTGGTTCTCCAGGCATCGGTGTTCCCTCACAGATCCTGACACTAACATGCTTCCTAAAGAGCCTGATTCAGTCTGCTCTTCATTATTAATTCAGAGAGGTCCGGCGATGGCGCTAACCACAGCCGATACATACACCACGAGCGATAGAGCCTCAGGCTACAGCAGAACCGCGCAGACAATGAAACGCCTCAAATAAAACGACCCTAAACACCTCACACACACTCATCCTGCTGCTTCTGTGATACAGAGACAACACAACACAACACACACATCACCAGCGGACAGACGCTCAAACACAGAAACTACAGTCCATAACGTCAATAATATAGTACAAAAAGTCATTTTCTGTAGAAAGACTTCACTGTAATCATTATTCAAAGTACTCCAGTTCAGTCTTGCTACACTAAAAAAGCTACTAACAAATGAATTTCATGTTATTTAAACATGGTTAAATATTATGGGATTCAAATGACATCTAACTTCGGATAATATTTCTGTTTAGCAGTCTGAGCTGTTTTTATCCGCTAGTATTTTGCTACACAAAAACAAAACATTAAATGACACGCAAGAACAAATGGGACACCAAATGAATCAGTTAATTTTTTTGTGATATGTTTCATTTATATGAGATAATATTATTCACAAATACCGCAGGACATGCTACATTATGAAGGTTAATGCTTAATGTTACACAAATATGAATATAAAACCATAATGTGTAATATAGTCAAAAAGATGATTATATAATACATTAATATACATAAATATATAAAATATTTGTATTACTATAACTATATATATATATATATATATATATATATATATATACACATATATAATATATTCT